GTGAGGTTGGGGGGACACGATGATTGGTATCCTGCGAGGTGGGGCCCCAAGCGTTTACGAGGGTGTTTCTTGGCAGGCACGCAGTGGCAGGAGGGGCTCTTCTTGGAGGCCTTCTGACAAAATCTGGAGCTGGCACAGACTGGGCAGTTTAAGGGGGCCCTCAGCTGAGCTCCCTGCCTTCAGAATATCTATAAACACAGGGAAAGGTACCGGTTATGAGACAGAGATAAAGTTAGAACCAAAGCCAAGCCTAGAATGTACCCTGAGCATTCAGAACAACTCTCTCTCTCTCCTTCTCTCTCTGTCTCTCTGTCTCTGTCTCTGTCTCTGTCTCTGTCTCTCTCTCTCTCTCTCTCTCGTTTTGTTTTTCAAGACAGGGTTTCTCTGTGTAATAGCCCTGGCTGGCTATCCTGGAACTTACTCTGTAGACCAGGCTGGCCTCGAACTCACAGAGATCCACCTGCCTCTGCCTCCTGAGTGCTGGGATTAAAGGCGTGCCTTTTAATCCAGCTCAGAACAACATTCTTTAAAACATCTGATCCCTCCTTAGCTGTGGGGCTGTGGTCTTCTGCTTTGGGGCCATATATGCTTTTTGGACTTCCCAGGCACAGCAGGAACTCAGAGGGTCCACCCCTCCATGGGTTGAGGGTGTATATACAGCAGGCTGCATCCACCCAGAGACCTCAGAGGTTTCCTGGTTTGGAAAGTGACTGTGCCTTGAATTTTTGGGAATACTTGGTGATTCCTGGTCAGGACCTGGGCTAAGTGTGGGCTTGGGGGACAGAGCCCTTCCTGGAACTGTTGATTCATCCTGAGGTCTCTGGATTGGCTCGGCTCCTGTGGTGGAGAGAGACCGTGAGGCCAGCTGGGGACATGTCCTTCTGGTCCTCTCTAGCCTTGGCCCCGAGAACCAAGTCTCTGGGTTTGTCCAGTTGGATTCCCCCCACCCACCCCTGCCTTTTTTTGTCCCAGGATCGTTCATTAGTTAGACCCCCGGGGAAAGAGGCCTGGTGGGGCTCACATTTGGGGAGGTTGTCAAATGTGCTAGTTGTCACTAAAAACTTGTAAATGGGGGTTCAGGATGCTGGGGCCTGGGCTGGCTGAAGTATGCACTGTTCAGAAAGTCCAAAAGTACTCCCCCCCTACACACACACCAGCCAGGAGGGAGGAACGTCTCCACAGAGTCAGAGAGAAGTCTGCACTGGGGCCTGGGCCAGCTTTCCCCTCTCCCGGGCCTCTCTGCTCTGGGGGAGTTGCATGCTCACTCAGAGGCAGCTTGGGAAAGAGCAGGGGCCCTTTCAGGGAAGCAGGCCCGAGACACTGTGAAAGCCCGATTCTTAGCTTCAGCTGCTGCGGCCCCAGGCCTGAGCCCCCGATCCATTTTCCACTCTGTTGTGAGAGCATCTCGTAGCTTTCTCAAAGGTTGTTTGGGGAAAGGCGGAGTTTCAGGGCTTTACTGCTGGGAGGACCCCGGAGGCCAGTCAGCACGGCACCCCCATTTCACTGGAAGTCTAATTTAAAACAGTTGGACTTGGCAGGATCTAGGCTGCCCCTTTCTGCGGAGGCCCCATTTCCTGAAAGAGACAGTGTCCATGGTGAGTGGATTTCACTCATTCACCGTTGCCCTCCTTGGTGAATTTGGGAAAAAAAAAAAAAAAGCCTCTGAGGTTCCTTTTAAAGGTAACAGAGTTTCCAGGGTGTTTTCAGTTCAGGGCCTTAATTTGTTTGTTCATTTGAAATCTTGGCTCGCTGCAGGCTCACAGCCGGGTCTTCCTCTGAGCATCATCAGGCTGTGCCCCGGATGGGAGGAGGAAAGCTCGAAATAGGAGAAATGTTTGAATATGGGAAATATTTCGATAACACCGGGATGAAGGCAGGGGCTGATATGGCCGAGGTCCGGCAGGTGTGGTAGACGGACTCACAGTTAACGGCGGAAGGTGGGGTCCCTTCCGTGAGCGGCCCTTACAGCAACAGAGGGGACCGGGCACTCCAGGTCCAGTGCAGTGCCACGGGGGCCCAACACCCTAGAGATGGGGTGCAGTTGAGCTGTGGTGGCACCTGGTTCCCCAAGGAAGGCTCTGAGTTGGGCAAGTCCTTGGCTTGGGATGCTTTGGACAGAAGAGCCCTGTAAGCTGGATGGGCAGACCAAAAGGGGTAGGGGCGGGGAGGGGGAAAGCTGGGTAGAGAACACAAGCAGGTAGGGGAGAGCCAAGCGGGGCCTGAACTAAATTATAATTTGCTGGCTTGTATCCTTTTTTGGGAGTGCCTCAGGAGGCTGCCAACTTTGATCTCACTTTTTGGACAGATCTTTAGGTTACTTCTTATAGCCACCGCCCAAGCCCTAGAGAGTTAGAGCCTTCTAGAAGCGGCTCTTGGTAAGAAACCATGAGGCATACAGAGCCGGGGTCCGGGTAACACCTGCGGGGGTGGGGGTGGGTTGGGAGGAGACAGGCACGCCAGTGGAGGACAGAAACGTCTTTCTTTGCTTTTTCCTGTGAGGCAGGATCCAGACTCAGGGAGCGGCCGTCCTTACATTGCATGCTTGCGCGCGCGCGCGCGCGCACACACACACACACACACACACACACCCCTCCACTACCCAGCTCTGTGCCAAAGCACTCACTAAATAACCCAGTAACTGGATGAATGGTGTTAGTGTGTGAATGCAGCGCGAGCCTCTAGAATCCTCCAGAATCCTGTTAACCTACAATGTGTTTCTTTAGGGTTCGCAGAATAACCAAAAACATTCGCTCTCCAGGATGGGTCTGTTCTCTGTGGTGAGTCAGGACTCCAGGGGACTCCCTGAGCACAGCATGAAGAAAGACTCTTCAGGGCACATGGAGGGGGGGGGTGCTCAGAGAAAGGCTTCTCCGGGCCCTTAGGGCAGGCTTGGCTGACCTCAGCTGGAGTCTGAGGTCATGGTCCGTTGATATGTTTCCAACCTGCTCACTAGCATCAAGTTTTTCCTGCAGGAGAGGATACCCATCCTATACCTACCTCATCTATCCCCTGAAGTGGAAAATTAAATAGAACCTAGATCAGTGGTTCTCACTTTGTGGGGTGCGACCTCTATAGGGGGTGGTGGTGAAGTGATCCTTTCCCAGGGGTCGCCAAAGACCATGGGAAAACACAGACATTTACATTAAGATTCACAACAGCAGCAAAATTACAGTTGTGAAGTGAGAACGGAAATAACTTTATGGTTGGGGGTCATCCCAACGTGAGGAACTGTATTAAAGGGTCGTGGCGTTAGGGACCACTGATCTAGATGGTGTCTCTGAGAGGCTGAGGTGCTTGTCTGGCCTTGGTTACTTTGGGAAGACCATGGCCATCTTTCTAGGGGTCTTTGGGATCCATCTTTGTGGTTTCTGGGCAGGAGGAGGTGCTGAGAAACCCCCGTCTCTCCTCCACTTCTCTCGGGCTTGGTTTGGGAAGAGTGTGTCTACCCTGTCCCACCTGCGAGGGTGGCCTTGCCCACCCCTTCCCACGGGGAGAGACGCCTTCCCCTTGCTCCTGGAGACCGAACTCGTGCGTGGGTGTGGGCTCCACGCAGAGACAACACCTCTTTTTTTTTTTTTTAGGATTGAAAACATCTCTGCTGGTTCTCAGGCCCTGCCAACCACACATCTTTCTTCTTTGGTTCTGTCTGAAAGGGCCACATGAGGGTTTTGTTTTCTCGCTGAAAGCTGGTGGCCTGTACACTGTCACTCCCGGCTATGGGAATGGCTAACTTTCATCATCTTGCCCTTCCCCAACCAGATTCTTTCCCCAAATGCTCTCCCCTCCTGCTGGGTGTTTTGGGACACAGAAGCCACCGTGTGGGGCCCCCGGTCGGGTCGGTTGTCCTTTTTTTCTGGGAGAAGTTAGGAACAGCCTGGGTGTCTCAAGCCACGCTTTGGTCTGATGCGGGCAGACCGAGTTGGCCGGGGCTGGGGTTGGGGGGGCAGGGGTGGGGTGGGGTGGGGACGGGGATGGGGACGGACCAGGGTGGCTTTTGTGCGACCTCAGTGGCGGGGCGCGGAAGCAGGGGCAGTGCCGGGGATCTGCACTCCCAAACCTTGACAGCCCTGAGGCTGAGGACTCAACTCCGGGGCGCACCAGGGGCTGCCACCGCTAGACCTCCTCCCCCTGGCCCCCCGTCCCGTGTCGGAGGCCCGGGCAGAGCTGCCCGAGAGGCCCCCCAGCGCCCCACCCGCACCCCGCGCCCAGCAGCCCAGCTCCCGGTCCCGCCCCAGCTCTCTGGGCCGGGCTCACAGGCGGCAACGGGGCGGGGGCCGGGAGGAGGGAGCGTTCCTGCAAATCACATGATTTTCCCGCTTATATAAATCACAGCTTGTTTTTCTGAACTGGCTGTAGACTTAAAGGTGCAGTGTCTTCTTTCTCTCCCAAGGGCAGGGGCTCCCTTGGGTGCCCTTGACCGCGGGCGGGCAAGCTGGGCGGGAGTGACTTCAGCTAGGGATGTGACACACACACACACACACACACACACACACACACACACACACACACACACACACACACACACACACACACACACACACAGAGTTTATGCTTAGTTGGCCCTTCCTCCATGCTTGGAATATTTCCTTGTGCTGAGGACCAGAGTCAGGCAAGGAAACATTATCACCAAGTCAAGAAACCCTCAGAGGTGGGTCAGCGGCCTCCGTCGACAAGCAGAATCCCAGAGCAATCTGCTGAAGCCCTGGGTGCCTGTTGGGGCCCTGAGCTGAGAGGGGGCCAGGAGGAAACTGGCCTGTGGGAGAATTCTGGAGTCAGGGTTATAAAGCCGGCGCTTACCATTCTCCTCAGCACTGGCTATGTTGAGACCAACGTATGTAGGAAGAGGAACCCATCTTCACAAGTTTTCCATGCTTGTTCCAGGCTAAACAGCAGAGAATCATCGTTGGCAGTGCATAATTACCTGGGGATGAATAGTTTGGATAATGAGTCCTGCAGGCTTTGGGAGGGAGGAGGGCGCCTCTGGAGGCCTTGGCGTGGGCATGAGCAGAAGGCAGGAGGGGACGTCCTGCTGGGTGATTGGGGTGCCAGGGTATGTTGGGGGGGGGAGGAGGAGGATGGTGTTGGGAGACGTCCTGCTGGGTGATTGGGGTGCCAGGGTGTGTTGGAGGGGGGAGCATGGTGTTGGGAGATGAATAGAGTGGGCGACCTTTTTGTCACACTGGGGAATGAGGAAGTGAGGACTGAGGGGTTGGAACTCGGCGGGGTGGCCACTCCGAAGCGCTGCTGTGAGAGTGGGCTGAGAATCAACTGTGATCCCATGAAGGTAGAGGGTGCAGTGCCCCACCCCCACCCCCCCACCCCCAGCCAAATGGGAATGCCGGTCCACAGTATTCCTGGGGACCAGCAACCCCACGGCAATGTGTAGGGAGGCCCCTGGGGAGAGTGGAAGGAGGCCACCCTCAGGTCTCAGTCCTGGGGTGTTAGGAGAAAAAGAACCAACAGTGAGGAGTAGGAGCTGGCTTGGAAGAACGAGTTAAGGTGATTGAATAAGTCGTGTATTTGGGGAGGGAGAAATCATCGCTCTGAGTGATGTTGACTTTGTTGGTGGGAGATGGAGAGAGAGGCAGCTTCTACCGAGAGGGTGTGGGGGAGGGGAGGCCAGGGCTCTTTAGATGGTGTTTTTCTGGACACTGGGCTCAAACAGGAACACCCGGAGGCCTGGAAGCCGGGGAAGAGAATCCTCCGCGTAGAAGATGCCACAGGGGGAGGATGTACTGTATGTATGTCTTCTGGGGAGCCAAGAGAAAAGGAGAGAGAGCGAGGTTGGGGAACACCCAGGATGGCAAGGCTGTGAGGTCCTGTGTCCTTGGAGGTAGGCCAGGAGGCTGGCAGGGCTGCTCTCCGCCAAGCTGTTTCTTCTTTCTGAACCGGGGTGATCTCATCTGGAGAATGAGGCTTAGAGGAAATGATGGATCCATCCTCTCCCAGGCTTCTGTCCTACTTGCCACAGCCAGCCTGGAAACAAGTGTCCTCCCCCTCCACGCTGTCCCATCACCCACCGGCAGCTTCCACTTCTTGAAAAAAATTAAAATTAGTTTTATGGCTAGGGATGTTTTGCCTGCATGTGTGTCTGTGCATCCCTGATGCCCGAGGAGGCTAGAGAGGTACCTAGACCCTTTGAACTGGAGTGACTGCCCTGTGGTTGCTGGGAACCGAACAGGGTCCTCTGGAAGCGCAGCCAGAGCGCTGACAGATGAGACATCTCTCCAGCCCGCAGCCTCCTCTTCAGCCTCTGGAGTTCAGCTACGCTCCGTCTAACAACTGTACTGCACGTCGGTTTCCTTTTTTATTATTCCTCCTCCTGGCAGTTTCCTCCTCCTCCTTCTGGGGGAGATGCAAAGCTGTCCTGCTTGTATGACGCCTGAACTGGAAATGCCCTCTGTTATAAAGGAAGGAAACATCAATTAGTTTCCTAAGGACCTGCTTATGAAGATCATTGTTGCTGCCTTTGCCTCTTCCGGCCCGGGGCCCTGCCAGACTCAGGAGAGTGGGTGTCATGGGGTGGTCCTCACAGTGCACGAAAGGGAAGCCTGTTGTCAGAGTTCCACCGTTCTGTCGAAGAACCTGATGTCCATCGGCCTTCGCTCTTGGAAGTTTTGTGCAGCAGTCAAAATACATTTGGTATAAGCAGTGCGGTTCTGGCTTCAGTGCGGCGGGACATTCTGGGTCACAGTTACTTGCCTTTGCTTCTATCCCTGGCCCAGAGCCAGCTGGAGAAATGGGGCCTGGCTTCTGGGGTCATTCAGCACCCAGAGAGCCCTTGGCTCTGAATGCAGCTTCCTGCTTTTTCCTTTCAGCCACAAATTTGCTGACTACGAGTCCTGAGCTCAAGAAGGCCTTCACAGATCCTTATTGTGCCTGTGGTGTGAGCCGTGTGAGCCCAGTGAGTGCCGGGCTAGCTGCAATGCCAACAGTTCAGTCTCCTAGGCTGCAGTGGGGTGGACCCTGAACCAGCCGAGCAGGGCCAGCTGCAGCGGGCAGAGGAGAGGCCCTGTCTCAGCTCAGTTGGATGAACCTTAGCAGGCCGGATGACAGTACTGGAGCCCTGGAACCACCCTGGCTGGCCCACTCTGTGAACGTGGTTTGGACTCCCATTTGCTGTTTGAATAAATGCCATTAAAAAAAAATGAACTTCTAAGCTGGGGTGGTGGTGGTGGTGGTGGTGGTGGCTCACGCATTTAATCCCATCAGGATTAAAGAGGCAGATGAATCTCTGTGAGTTCAAGGCCAGGCTGGTCTACAGAGAGAGCTAGTTCTAGGACAGTCAGAGCGGTCACACAGATAAACCTTGTCTCAAAACAACAAAACAAAACCAAAAAAGTTCTTTTTTTTTAAAAAAAAATTTTCCTTATTTTTATTTTGTGTGCATTGGTGTTTTACCTGCATGGATGTCTGTGTGAGGTTGTCAGATCCCCTGGAACTAGAGTTACAGACAGTTATGAGCTGCCATGTGGGTGCCGGGACCTGAACCTGTGTCTTCTGGAAGAGCAGCCAGTGTTAGTAACTGCTGAGCCATCTCTCCAGTGCCTCCCCCCCCACCAAAAGAACTTTTTAGATGAAAAGAGCTTATGTCCGGTTGAGGATGCAGCTCACTGGTGGAGTTCTTACCTGGTGGGCTTTTATCCACTTTTTTTCCCCCCCCCGTTAGAATGCTTTGGGGTTGGGGATTTAGATCTAGGTAGCACAAGGTCCCAGGTTCAGTCCTCAGCTGGGTGGGGGTGGCCAGGGATTACAGAAAGACAGCAATAAAACAAAAATTAAAATCAAGGCAACTGTTAGAAACAGTCAGTGTTTCTTCTTTTCTTAATGGACAATTCATGTTTCACCAATATCTCTTTCTATTTTCCTGTGTGTATGTGTGTGTGTATGTATGTGTGTGTGTATATATATGTGTGTATGTCTGTGTGTATATGTGTGTGTATGTATGTATGTGTGTATGTGTGTGTATGTGTGTATATATGTGTGTATATATGTGTGTGTATGTATGTGTGTGTATGTATGTGTGTGTATATATGTGTGTGTATATGTATGTGTGTGTATGTATGTGTGTGTATATATGTGTGTGTATGTATGTGTCTGTGTGTATATATGTGTGTGTCTGTGTCTGTGTGTATATATATGTGTGTGTGTGTATGTGTGTGTCTCTATGTGTGTGTTTTGCAGGGGGTCCAGCTTAGAGCCTCACACAGACAGACAAGCACTCTGCCACAGAGCTATCTATGTCTTCAGTCTCTTCTCTCTTTCTCTACCTAGGCCAGGGATTGAACATAGAGCCTTGCAGATGCTAAGAAGTCAACAGTCTATCATTTAGCTATACCCTAGCCATCTTCTTACTTAAAAAAACAACAGCTGGGAACAGGGTCCCTCCAAGTCACTTAGGCTGGTTTGAACTTACTCTGTAGCCCAGCCAGGCCTTGAACTGGGGGTCACAAGCCAAGGTTAAAACCTGGCCTTTCCCTCTTTAAAAATAGACAGTACTGACCGATAGATGAAGTTGAATTTTGCACTTGAATGTTTTCTTTATTACGTTTATTTGTCGGCTCTTCCCTTCTATCTTCCGGGTCCCCAGGACTGAACTCTGGTGGTCAAGTGTGGCCGCCAGTGCCGTTACCAACTGAGCCATCTTCTGGTTCTTTTTTTTTTTTTTTTCTTTTCTTTTATTCTTTTCAGACCGGGTCTTAAGCAGGCCAGGCTGGCTTCAGACTGTAGCAGTAGCTGAGGGTGATGTTGAGCTTCTGGTCTTTGGTTGGCAACTCCTGATTGCTGGGATTCCAAGCCTGTAGCACCACACCCAGTCTATACAGCGCGGGGGATCCAACTCAGGTATTGGTGAAATTATTAAGGCCACTCCACGTAGTTAAAAGGAAGATTTACTTAGTGGGTGACTTATAAATGAAGGGAAAGGTAGGTCGCGGGGTCTGGGGGAGGTGTATCACAGTCCAGCGTTGTTCTCTGGAGCTCTGCTCGGTTACCCTCCACTGTCTAGGGTCCAGGAACAGAGAGAGCACTGGCCCATCCAGATCTGGGGTCTCGCTGGGTGCCTCCCTTGGCTCTGCCTTGTAGGAGTGACAGTTGCCGAAGCCTCAGTGGGGGTTGGAACTTCCAGATCAAAGCTGGAATGGCTACCCACTAAATCTTCCCCTTTTGTCTAATTAAGAAGGTTCTAAACTAATACAAGACTATGTACAAAGGAATGGTTATCAAATATTACCCAGGACAAATGAGGGATGATGACCTAGATAAGATGGAACTACAATCAATGCGAACAATATCAAGCAAGAAGCACATACTAAAATCCAGAGAAGTATAGAGCATAGGTAAATGGTATGTTACAAAGATCATTCCAAAAGGTGTCCTATCCTAAAGAACCTGAATCTAATACTTAATATGTTCTATCTAA